GTTTGTAAATAATTTATTTTCAATTTGCAATCTATTAAAATAAAAATATAAATAAAATAATTTAGACTAATTTTTTTTGGAGAGAGAATTATCTCTGCATCTCTAACACCTAGCATGGGACCAGGTGCACACAACGTATTTTAAACACATGGTAGGCCAAATTTCTCTGCAGCCAGCACAATCACACCTTTGTGCATATGTGTGCATGGGGGGAGGGACTCCTTCATGCAGGGCCTTCTCCTAAGCCACAAGCACACCCGAAGCTCCCCGCACATCCTCACAGTTGCCCATCTGAGCCCACCTGCTCACCTCTATGCCCCGCCCCTCATTGATTCCTCAGTTGCACTGACCTTACAGCCTTATAGTTTCTGGATGTAGACTACAATTTCAAGGACTCTTTTGAAAAAGCAAGCACACTAACTTGTAAATATAGTTGGACTGTTTGGTAACTACAAAAAGAAACTGAAGCCATAGCTGAAACTATTCAATGAAATACTTTACCTTGGAAAGATTATGTTTTATTGGAGAATAACTTTTTGATATTTCCCTGATGTCATAATGTTACAATACTTCTACATCTATTACTTTAATATTAGGGAAATTACCACAAAAATCAAATATTTTGGAAAAAGACATGAGAAGCAAATTACTTAAAGAACAGTACATTATGTAATTAGACTTTTTTTTTTTTTAAAAAAAACTACTTTAAGTACATGGTATAGTATGAAAAAGCAATGAAAACATTCTGAAATAGTAATAATATTAAACATTTTGTCACTAGTGCACTTCAAATGGTCCAGAAGGATTGTACTTTTAAGGCTCTGACAATCCTGGCAATGAACCAACAGCTCTTCCTCCAAGTGTAGGCACTTCTCAGAGCTAGGACCCCACTACAGGGCAAATCTGCTCCTTTCTGGTTACCTGCATTTGTGTTGGACCCCTGCAGGAGCACGGTCAGCGTCTCCATGACCAACAGAGCCAGGTGCTTTTGGTCCTCAACTGAGCTATTATTTCTTGAGTCCCCTACAAAAAAAGTTCAAAGATGCAAATCACAAAAGTGATAAGCTTATTTTTTTCTTGATTCAGTTTTGTTTTTAACAATTTCTTTAAAATTTCTCTGATATTCACTTTCCATTAAAATGATACAAAACAATCTTTAAAATGGCACCTTGAGACCATACTCTTAAATGAAATAAATCAAATGGGACACATACAAATATAAATATTACATTGTTTCTCTGGTATGAGAAACTGAAAGTTTCCTAAATAAGGACTAAAACACGTAATAGCTGTTGTGAAATAGGAACAAACTGTTCAAAAGGCAAAGGGAAGGGAGGAGAGAGAGGGAAAAGAAAAAAATGAGAAAAAAGAATAACATAGAAACAAAACATTGTAAATAAGAAGGGTAAAAGGAGCACAAGGAAAGGGAGAGGAATTGGAGAAGAGGAACTAAGATACAGGGCATACAAGCATCCTACGTGGATGTCCTCGAATAGCCACCAGGTACAAGTTATCCTACCAAATTCAAGTTTCCTATGATGAATGTTGTTGTTATAAACTGTATCAATAAACTTAATAAAAAATGTGTGTCCATCACCTTGCTAAAAGCGGGCAGGAAATCAGTAATGATCTTACTTTGGTATGACTATAAAGTTATCTAACAAGAACAAAAAATAAAAATGTTGAAATTAAAGACATTTATCCTGTAGAGATTTTAATCAAGGATGTCAACAGAAGAATGATAGATTTTAATATACCAAACAGAAAGATTTTAAGAATAGTGATCCACTTAATTTGAATTAATTCACACTCAATACTTACCAGTTGCCAGAAACTCTAGACTTCTTTCAGATTTATCAAAAAGGTACCTAATCATAGTAAGTGTACATAATATTCCAAATATTATGGGATATTATAATAATATCCCAAATTTGCCACCTATAAAAAATGTGAAGCATTCACACATAAAATTACATAGAATAAACCATAATTAATAATTCAAATTACTTCCAGAGGCTTAAAATTCCTACTTAGATGAACAAAATTACAAACATTAGTTATGAGTGTCACATAAGTTATTTGCCAGGTAAAAAAACTCTTCCCCAGTTTCCTAATAGAAATTTGGTTGAATAAACAGACTTTGGGAAACACTCACTAGAACGTCACAGCAATGTGCAGCAGGAAGTCATTTGAGCAATCACAGGAAAGGCACAAGAGGAATAAGCAATAAATTCCTTTACCAAAGAAGAACAAAGTTACGGAAAAGGCTTTACCTTGGTCATGCAGCGCCTGAGCAGGATCTTTCAAGAGGGCAGCATATTTATGCAGAAGGTTAACCATGACCTCCAGAAGGCCCACCTCCCTGAACACATCTTTAAATATGTAGTCGTGTCTTGTAAACTTAAGAAGGGTATGCATGGCAACAATGCTACAGGGGTACGAAGAGCTAGATTTTAAGAGGATACTAACACTAATAAGTTCTTTACAAGGGATGTAATTTAAGCTAAAGACAACAAACTCCAGCATCTCAAAGTATTTGTTTTGGACTTCTGGAAGTTTAGAAATCTTCTCAGCGAACTGTGACAGAGTGTGCTGTGACTCTAGGATGAAGTAGTTAGCACTGTCAGCCATGTAGATGTTTGTGATGGCGTCCAGGATGATCTGGGCCAGGAAGCTGGTTTTTGCTTTTAAAAATGCATTCTGAAGCACAGCAAAGGCCTGGATGTTTCTCACACTGTGACCTAAAATAGGAAATGAGAACACAAAAGTAGGTGCCATGTGATATTTCAGCCACAGCAAACTGATCCATAGAAACATAACACAAATTCAGCATTTACCAGCTATTTGCTAAGAACATGCCCTGTGTGCACAAAAGGTCATATTTTTCTTCACCAGGTTCAAATCACTTAATTAAAAATAAATAACGCCAACTAAAACCTTAATGTGCCATCATCAGTCTTTCAACTTAAGAACAGTATATGGTGAAAACCTTTTTTTTTTTGGTACTGGGAATTGAACTCACAACCTCATGCACTTGGCAAGTAGACATGTGCCACTAAGCTATACCCCTGACTCCTGAAACTGTTTATTTTTGAGACAGGGTTTTACTCTGCAACTCAGGCTGGCCTTGAGTTCACTCTAGCCCACACTGGTCTTAAACTCCCAACATTCCTCGTGCCTCAGCCTCCCAAGTGCTGGGATTATTGGCATGTTACCACTACACCCAGCCTGTAACTCTGTTTTAAAGAGAATAAAATCCTACTGCATTTGACTCTTAAAACACACAGTCCTGCATTCTGTTTTAGTAAGACTGATCTTCAGCGCAAGCACAGCTGCTGCTCAACCTGAAGAGACTCTGAGGCTGAAAGGTCATCGCAGGGGCCGCAGGAATGAAAGGTAAGAAAGTTCGGAGGGGAAATTCTCTAAATCTTCACTTTCTAATTATAGTCACAGTATCACAATTTTCATTGATTTTAATTTTGAAATTTGTTATCAAACTAAAATTATAATTTCCTTATATAAACATTTATTTAAGCAATTTTGGGTTGCCTACTAAATATATTTTTAAACCTTTGTTTTCAAACCCATCAGTTGAAAAATAAACACTTTTAATATAGATCCTGCAGACACATTGACAATGATACACAGAAAGTTACAGCTGATAGTACATGAAAACAAGCATTTGCCTCTAAAAATTGTTTCTAGTTCCACAATTATTGGGTGAGGTGTTTTTTTTTTCTTTTTTTTTTGGCCAGCTCAGCCCTCCCTGAAGGTGGGGCTGGCTAGTCATATGGTGCCAGGAACAAACCTGGTTGCCTGCACCTGCCTAAGCAGGTGCTTGAGACCGCTAAGCTATCTTGCTAGCCCTGGTAGGTGTATTTAGCATCTGCAAGAATTACAAAAAACATTAACATAGATTCTTACACAATAAATTTGATTTTAGGAACATGGTATGAACAGTCCTAGGAAAAACAAAATGGGTTAGAAAGGTTGCTAAGAAATCCTGACATAAGCATCTTTGAAAAACATTAAGATTGCAAAAAATCTTCAGCCTACATACATTATTTCAATTTTCCTCTACAATGTCTAAATATATTTGATGTATGGCAAATATCAAAGATTGATGTTAATTTTCAATTTCTTACTGTGTTTGCTCTTTTTAGGTCACCTTAACTTTTTATTTCCTATAAGTCACCAAAAATAAAGCTGAGATAAATTGACATACAAATATAAAAACCAAAATACATGTGAGAAAAGTGACAAATGAAACTAACAATGAGGTCTAGCCAATACTGTACACCTTTTAGCTAAGTGATAATATTAATCATCACTATAGAAAAGAAGTTATAAGAGCTGAACTTAGGTTAACAGGAAAGAAATCTTGTTCCACAAGTTTGGTAACTATTTGGTTTCAAGTGATTTTGTTCACAAAACGTATGACATACTATTAATGAAGCACAAGGACAAACTACCATAAAGACTAGAACTGGTTTAAACAACTATGTCCATACACAAACACAATTGTTACGGCTCGCGTCCAGATGTCTCCTCCAAAGCCTCAGGCAATCAAGGGGTAGGCTTGTCAGAGGCAGCTGAATCTAGAGTTTGTAACTCATTCATGGTCCAATGCTGAGATTAAGGTTTTAAGTGCCGCACCGTGGGCTGGTAGCATGCATACATATAAGGGACAGAGTCTTGTCTCTCTCTCCCTTGTTGCTTTGGTACCATCTGGCCACCATGGAAAACTCACTTTTTGTTGCTTTTATTATCTTCCACCACCATGAACTGCTGCCCCTCTGCCAAACCACCCTGCCTTGGTGCCAGTCAATTATGGAATGAAGTTGCCACACACTGTGAGCTAAATAAATAAGCCTTCACTTCTTTAACTCTGAGTGTCAGGCATTTTGTCTCAGCAGTGAAAAAAGAAGCTAAGGCATCAATGTAATGTAAAATATGGTAATCTTCACGTACAAAGATAACCTCAGGAACAGGGGTTGGCAGGTTAGCAGGCTTACAAATTTTAGAGTAATTTATTTTTTGATTCATCTTTAATCTTGTTATCCAACTCTTCTAGGGGCCATTACGATAGGTGGTGATGGGGTAATTAAAATACACAGGCACAGTAAGTGACCAAGGAATACCAAGATGAGCTCCATGATGGCTTTCAAGAGCAAAGTATTTTAACCAGTGAATAACCACTCAGGCTAATCTACACTTAAGCCTAATCACTTCATTGAATTAAACCAGAGAAAAAGATTTTGTTTACCTCTAAAATATTATTTCTAAACTTAAACCTCTATGCATAATGGAAATTAATAAGGCCTGATAATTCAGCTTTCTAGCAGAAAAAGTATCTTAAGGGACATCCGAATATCAATACTGAAATGAGTGGGTTACAAATTTGATGTCCACTATATTTCCAATGTTAATATTATGAGTAGTACTTATTTGTCATAGTCATTAAATTCTTAAAATACTCAATTAAAAGCTGAGTAATAAAAATTTAAAATATATACACCAGATGGGCATATTTCTTAAATATTAATACATAAAAGCTCTAATATTTTAGCAAAACAAACATATTTAAGTTTCAATGTTTGCATTAACTTATTTAAGTTTCAAAGTCTAACTTCAATCTTTTAGGTACAAAAATAGTTATAAGAAACAGTGATAAAATAAGAAAAGCATTCTAAAATAGAACAAAGACCACTTTATTTTTCTCAAGTCTGCACATGCAGAGCAAAAGAAATGAATTAGACAGGGTTTGAAGAACATCCACATAGACAACAAAGAAGTATCTTATTTTCCATCTAATGAGAAATGTGAAAGTGAACATTTAAAAAGAAGTCTACACAGTACAAGCATAAGAAAATGAAATAAGAATAAAGGTCTAAATAAAAAATGCAAAATTGCCTTCAGTGGCCAGATCCTAAGTATTATCCACTAGATTCTATGTCACCGTAGTTAGATTACAAAGACAGATCCTAAGAGGAGATGGATAGAAAAAATGGCCAGAGATGCTTGCGGGAGCCAGGAGTGGCAGTGCACCTCTGTAATCCCAATGCCCAGGAGGCTGAGGCAGGAGGATCACTTTGAGATCAGGGTCAGTCTGGACCACGTAGTGAGTTCATGGCCAGCCTGAACTACATAGTGAGACACTATCTCAGAAAACAAAAACAAAACAAGATCCTAATGATGATCCAGGATAGCTTCACAGGACAGAAGCTAAGTTAGGAGAGCTAAGCAGAGCTATGAAAGAAGGGTGGAAATCAGGACATGTAAAACAGAAAATGAGGACTAAGACCCACATGTGGATGGCTGGCAGAAATGGTTATACACAGCCTGTTAAGTTACACTGTGGGAGACAGTGAGAATCAACCCTGGCATGCTTACGTCCCCCACTACGAGGCAAGTCCATGCTGAAGGAAGGCCACAGGAACTGTAGCTACCAGATTGGGAAAGAAACTCCACAAAGGAGAAAACAACACTGTACTCACACCACCACTGCCTAAACTAATGTGTGATAAAAAATGTTTGCAAGGTGAAGTCCGATTAAGGTTCAGCAAAGTGTGGAAACATTCTGCATAATGAGATACAGTCTCTGGGAAAAACATATTGAAGCCTTCAGTATGGAAAATAAATGTGGAAACTGGAGCGCTATGAGTTACAGAATGCCAACTCACCACAGTTCATGAACTGGTCAACTGGGGCTGCTAGGAAACCAATGAAGATTTTCCATTAAAGTGAAGCTACTAGGGCTGGCCAAATAGCTCAGTGGATTAAAGTGCCTGCAAGCAGATGCAGAGGTGAGGGGTTCCATCCATAGGGCTGCCCTGTTGGCCCTGCCCCCAGGGCGCGCTGAGACAGCAATTGAGACTGGGCATGGTGGCGCGTGCCTTAATCCCAGCACTTGGGAGGCTGTAAGCAGGCGGATCAGTATGAGTCCGACCTAGTAGTGAGACCCTAAACACCCTGTAGACCCTGCCCTAAAATACAAAAATAAATAAATAAATAAATAAATAATAAAAATAAAAAATAAAGGGAAGGGTTGCTCTGCTTCTTTAATTTCTTTTTTGGAAAAATCCCTCTGCTGATGAGGATATAAAGCTTAGCAAAAGCTCTTGCTATCTGCTACAGAAAGTCATTTTTAAGAAACAAGACTCACACATGTGCAAACAAATATGCTCAGAATGGTAACTGGGTTGACCTCTTCTTTTAAATTTTATATATCTTATACCTGCCTCTCTTGATCTATAACCAATGCCAAAACCAAGGCAGCTAAGCTGTGACCATGTGTCCATCATGAAGTGCACATATTCATGCTTCCTTTTTAAATGTAATTGTACCACTTATTTGGTAAAAATTCCTTGGCAACAAGAATATTCTTTTCGTAGATAATTAAAAGGAAACAAGTGAAACCAAGAAATGTCTTTCCCATGAGCACTGTAAATAAAGAACTGACATGAGGCTATCACCACATGACATCGTTTAACCATTTTTCTCCATCTCTTTCCCTATACAACAGTCTACCATCTCTAACCCAAACAAGATTCACAAGAAATACACCAGAAAAAAGAAAGCAATTTCCTTCATAAAAGAACAACACAAAACCCTGAAGGGTAAATTTAATAAAAAACCTGCAAGTTGTATGCACTGAAAACTATAAAACACTGCTGACAGAAAATAAGACAAAAATAAAGAGCAATATCATTTTCATGGGTTGGTTGCAAGATTCCATACTATTAAGATGTCATGGGCCCAGGAGATCGCTCAGTGGAATTAGCAACTGCCTGGCAAGGTCAAGGTTCTGAGTTCAGTCCCTGGTACAAAAAAAAAAGTTAGTCCTCCCCAACAAGACCTAAGTGATGTATATTCCCAATCACCATCACAGTCAGCTCCTACTCTAACAACTCAAGTCACAAATTTACATGGAAGCTCAAGGGAATAGCCAAAATAATTTTGAAAAGAACAAAATTATACAACTTAAATGAGTTAATTTTAAGATTTTTAAAAAATCAAACAATACTAATAAAAAGCCTAGTATTGTATTAAATACAGACACACTGACAAACAGAATTCAGACAGTCTCAAACATAGGGTCTTTTCAAGAAAGCATGCTGGCACATTGGTACAGCCATGTGAAAAAAACCAAAAGCAAACAAAAAACAAAACAAATAAGTGAACTCTTACTTCCTGTGCTATGGAACAATTGAAAATGTTCCTTTAAGAGATAAAAGGAATCACTGGAGAAATAAGACATTAGAAAGAGGACATTAGAAGAAGAAAATACTAGTGATGACCTTGGGAATTTGAAGTAAAGATTTCTTCAATAGGGCAAAATGAAAAATTGGATTTTGTCCCTGAAGTGACTAAGACCTTATTTAGAATATATAAAGAACTCATATAACTCCAACAATCCTACCAAGTAATCAGCACAATGACCTGAAGTAACAGAGGAGTAAAAGTGACAACCAGGCCCACCAAAAGATTTTCAACTTTATTAGTCACTTAGATACTAAAAATCAAAAGCAATTCGATACTAGAAAATACTCACTAGAATTTCTAAAACTGCGAACAAACAAAGCTAATAGCACTAAGTGCTATTAAGGATGTCAAGCCACTGGGACTTTCATACACCGCAGACATGAATATTAAAAATATTAAATGGGACAGCCCCTTCCAAAGAGTTGGCTGTTTTGCATAAAGTTAAACATGCATGTACCACATGATCCAGGAATTTCAGTGCTGGGAGTTACCCAAGAGAAATAAAAACATCTGTTCGTAAAGCTTTAGTCAGGATAGTCAAACACAAACAAATGTCTACCAACTGGTAAATGGATGTAGAAACAGTGCAAGAATGACCCACTAGCAAAAAGACTGAAGCATACAATAATGTGGTTGAATCTCAAATACATTACTGTAAGTGAAAGAATCCAGATACATAAGACCAAATATTGCATGACTTCAGCTTCTGAAGCTGTGGAATGAGTGAAACCAAAGCATATCAGCTGCTGCCCCACAAAGAGTGGGGGTGGGTGACAGAAGGACTGCAAGGCAAACAGAAAGCCTTTTAAAGTGTGAAAGTATTCCATATCATCATTACAGTGTGATTGTACAACTACATATCTATTTTTATTTATTTATTTTTTTTGGCAGAATTGAGGATTGAACTCAGGCCCCTGTGCTTGCCGGGGAAGCACTTATTCCACTGAGCCATCTCGCTGGCCCCCAACTACACATTTATTAGGCTTAACCAAACCCAGCACTTTGATGGACAGATTCAAACAGATGTAAATTATACACCAATGTTGCTGACAGAAGACCAAAAGATGACACAGTCTATTATTTGGTCTCTAATGGGTGCAGCTACCACGATGACTCCCACAGCCTAACCAAGTGGCATGAAACACAATTTTGACTTAGACAAGGAACTCCAAATGAGGTAGGCTGACCTGTTTATTTCATAGAATACTGTAATTTTTCTAAAGAAGAAATGGATATTTAGAAAAGTTATAACATTCACGATTCTATAAATTCTGACTATGAGGGTAAGATCCTTTCTAGTTTTCGTCAGATTCTCATGATGACTCTGGTTGGGGCTAGGTTATATTGTTTAAATCCGTATTATTCATGAGACAAAATCAGAAAACAACATTACGCAAAAGAATAATTTTGTTGCAATAATTATATGATTATAAAATTATGCTATTTTACTTCATTATATGAATATGAAGATCAGATTGATTAATCAAATGAAATAATAAAGTATGAGACAAACATACATTCCAGAGTTATTTTATTTAAGTCAAAAGATTAACTAAGGAACACTGAATTGGGAGCCTATAAATTTCATTGAGATTACTTTCCCATATTAAATAAAATGAAGGGCCAGCAGTATAGCTCAGCAGACTAAGCACTTGCTTAGGTAAGCACAGGGCCAGTGTTCAATCCCTGGCACAGCATGCTGCATCAGCCCCACCCCTGGGTGTGCTGAGTCAGCAATGGAGTCTGGGCGTGGCGGTACACACCTGTAATCCCAGCACTAGCGAGGCAGAAATCAGGAGGATACTATGAATCTGACTTGTGCAGTGACAGCCTACACCAAAAGTATAATAAAATGAAACCTGAACTACTCAGGCATATGTGTGCCTTTGTACCACTCTTATGTCAGAGACTGTCTTAGAAGGTTCTCACTTGAAAAAGGTTCTAAACAACCTATGCACTAGGGATACAGCACATCATAGTGACTCTGAGGGCTCCATCTACTTTCATGAATTCAAAAACTTACAACTATTGACTTTTTTGTCACATAATGAACAGCCTTACAGTGTAAACAGACATATCGGTTCTTTTGACTAAACATCACATGGAAATATCATGAACCTATTGAAAACTTTAAGCAGCAAATCACATGAAAAGAAGTGTTAAAGGCCTTCAGATTGAGATTCTTTTGGAACAGTTATTGCGGGTTCAAAATAAACAAGAAAGCTGGGGGCCAGGGGAAGATGGCTCAGTAGAATAAGCACTTCCCTGGCAAGTGCAAGGGTCTGAGTTCAGTCCCTGGTTCTGCCAAAAAAAAAAAAGGGGGGGGGGTAATTTGTTGAACTAAATTTTTTTTTAGTGAAGTATCACAAAATGAAGATTCAAATGGTAGAAGACATAGGTCATTATGCCCTGACCTACATGAAGTAATGTTAACTTCTTTTACTTACATTTGCTTAGTTTTAAATATAGCAGTTATATCTCATGCTTCCCATTCATACCAGTAGGTGTGGAGATTAGAATATGAATTAAGTGTAATCCACATAAAATCGCAACATATGGAGTGCTAACACTCCAAAGCAGCATGATTAGATTTAAAGTTGTTTGAACATTAAAATGAATGCCTAATACAAATCTCATTGCTTGATTTCAGACTTTCATAATATTAACTTTCAAACACTTGATATGCTAGAGTATTAAGAGATTCTTACCTAAACTTAAGCACAAATAGCATAAACTTTAACGAAAAACAAAATGCTATTTTTAAAAAATCATTTATTTATTTATTTATTTGGTACAGGGTCTCACTGCACAGTTCCAACTCGCAGTGATCCGCCTGTCTCAGCCTCCCCAGCGTGTGCCACCATGCCTAGTTTTGGTGACCTGCACAGCATACCCTCATTCCTGGGCTGGTGTGGCATGTGGTACTGGGCACTGAACCCAGGTCCTTGTGCTTGCCAGGCAGGTGCTTGGACTGCCAAACTATCTATCTCCCCATCCCCAAAATGCTATTTTTTAAACAAAGAATAAACAAAGCAAGGCAGATGTACTCGTCCTGTGTCTCTGCATAGCTCTGAAACAGGATGACAGGGCTCACCTTTGCCTGCAGGCTGAGGCACTACAAATCCTGGCAGCAGGAAGGGCGCCCCCGTGGTGACCCCTGCGGGCTTCAGCTCATTGACACCGTATGTGGTCAGGGAAGTTACCAGATTCACCAGGTCTTTCAAGGCATCTTTGGACTCGGCCTCTTTTGCTTGCTCCAACCTAAAAAAAGTAACAAATATATTTTTTCTCCTTACTTCTGTACTTGAATTTATTATAAAAACTATTTATCAATTTTATTTATTCAATTTATTTAATAAATATATCTATAAACTGTTCAGAGAAGTTTCTTCTTATAATATTTCCTATATTAAAAACTTCAAAACACTATACATTTTATAAGACATTATGGTGTATTTTGAAGAAATCAGACCAGTGATCAAAGTGCTCATTTGATCACTGTTATGTTAGATAAACCACTAATCTTTGGCAGAAACCCTCTAAATAATAAAAGCATTAGATTAATTGTATTTTCAAGTTCCCTAAGTCTCTGAGGTTACTAAGGTTCACTATTTGCAACTGAAACCTTATAAACTAGTCATTCTTATAAACTAGTCTTTCTTAAGGCATCTGCTTAGTTAACAATGTTCAAAAATGAACTCTTTGGGAAGCGTTCTAAGAATTTTATTTGTATTTCATGAATTTAGGTACTATTTAAATAAAGTTCTGAGGTGGTAATTTTTTTTAATTATCATAATTGTTTCTCAAAGAACTCTGAGGTCATTAGGGAATTATTTTTTAATTATAACTTTATAAAGAAAACGAAACAGGCACAGATATCTCTTTCTTGGAAAGCGTAAGCTTTACTGGGCTTTCCCCTCAAAATAAAAAAAAATGTAATTCGTATCAAAATAAACTTGGAGAAGTGTATAGAAGGAAGAAGGAAGGAAGGAAGAGGAGGAGGAGGAGGAGGAGGAAGAGGAGGAGGAAGAGGAAGAGAAGAAAGGATTCTTAATCTCACAACCCAGACAACCACATTCAACCTTTGGATGGACTTGTTAAAACCTGTCATTTTTAATCTGAAAGTTTAGTTTTTACAGTACTTATGATCCCAATATACACAAACTTCACACTTTTCCTCATTTCTGAGTGTTAGCATGTGCGTCTCGGTGTGAGTATGCGCTCCCTGCACACAGTGTCCTGAAGGCAAGCACAGCCAACCATGGCACCAACCACACCTTTGGTAGGGAGAAGGGAGAAGGCAGACAGCTAAAGACACACAACTTTCTCTCCACTGAGGATTATGTGCTAGGACTACTAACTGTAATGAAAATACTGTGTTAGAATGTCAACATGAGGCTCCTGACGAGTCAACCTGCAGTCTCAAAGCACTGCACTGTTAACAGCCCACAAGTAAGGTGAAGTCCCCATTTCGTGAACTCCCTACACCCTCTTTTATAAATGAGGAACTACATGAAAAAGCAATTTTTGGAAGCTATGAAATATGAGAGTAAGTACATTAAACTTTTGTTAGATATAAGTTAACAAAACAATGTTGTTTTTAAATAAGTCAAATGATTTAAAAATAACCAATGGCCCAGGAATCGCTAGAGAGGAAGAGCACCATCTTTCGGGAGATTTGGGTACAGCCACTTTCTAAGCACATGCATGCACTGTCTTCTAGAATTTAAAATTGGGTGTGAGAAATATCCTGCAATAAATAATTGGTTTTTCATACATATTTATCATGTCTCATCTAGCTATATAATTACCTTGCTATTTGCTAGCAAGTACTACAACATGGACAATAAAAATCCAAGCAAGCACAAAGAGTCCCTACTTAAGAAGACGTTAACTTCACGTAAACTCTTTTATCTCAGTTACAAATTCATACATAATCTCCGATTTCACATTTGTGATCTGCATCTGACAATTTAATTGTTTTTTTTTTAAAGAAACAGCTGTTTATTGAATAACACATAAATCCATAAACAAATATGTAGATCAAACAAATATCTTTACAAAACCAAAATGTACTGAAATGTATTTCTGGCCAGGTTAAATTACAATGTCTTCTTTTTTTTTCTCTCTCTTTTTCTTTTTTCTCTCAATTCCTTTACAAACACTTGCTTGAAACTTCCTCTGATTCCATCATAAACACTTTCTCTTTCCCTCTCTAGCAGCCTTGGACCTTTTCACTTGAAATATCCCTTTCGTCTATAAGAAACTTCCTAGGTGCCAGCATCACTTTTCTCTTTTCCAGTCCATATTTCCATTCTGTACTTTCTCTGCTATGAAGCAGTAATTTTTTCCTGCAGGCTTTTTTTTTTTTTTGTATTTACTTTTTATTTTTTTTATTTTTCAACAAATAATACACTGCATATATTCTTCTTAGTGGTTAATTGCTGTACAAGATGCGGACTTATGATCCTAT